AAGAGCTGTGTGGTTATCTCCCGAGCGCTATCTTTAATTATATGAGAACACCGAGGTACGAGAGAACTCACTGTACTGAAGAGGTAGCAATTGTTTAATTATAGCATATTATTGATCAAAATTATGTTGAAAGAGAATTGTATTCATGAATCTCTAAGGAAAACTTGGACCTGAATTCTTTGTTTGTCAGTTAGTAACGAAATAAATGTCATTAGATAAATCATTTGTCTCTTCTTGCCTCCTTACTTTCCTCATGTTTAACATTCTACTAAGAATTGTGTTATTGGTTAAAACAAAAGCAGTTTTTGAGGGTTAATAAAATTCTGCTTGCAGGTTCAATGGCATTTTGTACATAAATTATATTTTCTGGTCCATGCTGGTTTGGTATGATATGAAATAAATTGAATTTTCTTGAATAATTTGATTGAGTAAAATGAAATATTCAAGGAAATCCAAATGCAATTCTTAGATTCTGGCAATCGTAGATAGCTAGTAGTTGAAGCATGTCTGTCAACTAAACATGAATGTAATTAAGAGGTGTCTATTGGGCAAACTTTTCCTCTATTTGTCGTTATTTATCACATCAAGCTACCAAATTTGAATTTCTATATCTTGTTTGGGACCCATAACCATTACATTTTTTATTCTTATTTTTACAAAAATGAAACAAACGCCCTTTATCTTATTTTCAACTTGACACAAGTAACCAAGAATTTTTCTTCCATCTCATGTCATCTTCATGTATGAATAATCCCATTTGAAAAAATGGTTGGATAATGACAAAGAAATTTCTTGCGACGTTCTGATCAAAAAAGAAATAATAATAATAATAATAATTGGATAGGAGTTCTCGTTTTTAAGAGATTAAGCACTAGTTTGGCTCCACTATTTACAAAATTAAAATTCATTTTTTAAACTGTTAGCGAGTTCCCATGCCTGCCTTGTAGTGTGAAGGAAGTCAACAATTGCAGTTACTAACGGTCCAATAATTCATTAAAATTTGGATGAAAATTGCTACCAAACAATCTCTAAACTAAGGTTTCCTTTAGAACGAGGCATGGAAGGGACCCACATAATGCTAGTTCAATGTAAGATGTGCACCACTTCATGCATTGTATCGTCCATGTAGAACTTACTGTTAGCTTGTAGTCATAGGTGGAGACGAAATGATTGAATAGAAATATAAATAGTAGTTATGGTAAGTTTGGACGGTAAACGTGAAACAAAGATCTATGTTGTGTGACGTTGGGTGTATTTTTTTTTTTTTTTTTAATTCCTTTTTTGTCCATTTTTTTTGTAATTTTGTACAATATAGTTTTATAATTTTATTACAATAGGCCTAAACGTGGATTAGGTAGACCAGAAAAAGCTAAAGACCAAGACTTTTAATTGCAAAGATACAATGTACAACCACCTTCGCTGTGACTATTCTTCTAAAAGTTCATTTTTTTAAAACTCATTTTCAATTACATATTTTTCAATAAAATAATATTACACATAAATTTAAATTTTTTTTTTAAATTTTTAATCACACATTCTCAATCAATTTACTATTCAAAATACATTTTTCCTCCAAGTGGTCGAAAATACTTGCACTCACTGCACTCACTCACTTTGTATATTCTTAACTTTTTACAAGTGGTTTGATGAAATTATACCCCTGTTTTGACTTCATTAAAAATATAGATTTTTGGAGAAAAACGTGTTTTGAGATAGTGATTTTTCGGAGAATGTGTAGTTAGAAAATAAGGAAAAATTATGAATTTATTTGTAATATTATTTTATAAGAGAATGTGTGGTAGAAAAAAAAAGTTGATATTTTTTTAATAAAGTATATGGTTGGCGTATCTAGCAAGTAACAACATAACGGTCCTAAACTTCTAAACTAATGTCTTTTGCGGTTGGCTTGGGCTATTGAGACCTGGAATTATGTTTGTTTAACTTGCAATGTAAACCTACTTAAATAGTATTCCCTGTTTGTTTCCTATTTTCACAAGAATGAGAATGAAAAATGTAGTCGTTATAGGCTCCATACAAAATATAGATATTCAAATTTGGTGGCTTTATGTGATGATTAAAGGTCATATTTTTCATTTTAATGGGGAAAAGAATGAGAAACAAACTGGGGATAACGGTGCTTGCTTTGTCCACTCAAGGCTTGTTTGGTAGGACTTCTAAAAAGTTAGAAATTGCTTTTAAAACTAATAAGTTACTTTTGAACATGTTTTGAATAACTTTTTAAAATTATTATTTGAATAAAAGAGTTTTTAGAGAAAACTTGTCTAACGTAAATTTTTAAAAAAACTATTCTACAAAAAAATATAAGTAAAAGCAGAAACATTATCAATTGAATCTTTAATGCCATTTGCTCAAAAAAAATAAAAAAGGAGGGTATTCTTGAAAAGGACAGTAGAGACTTCCATTTAAGACATTTTATTGACAAAAATACCATATGATAAGCTTAAAAAGAAAAAAAAATTAAATAGAAAATTGGTGTAAAGTGTAAACAACAAAGTTTGACCAAATCAAAAAGGAGAAGATAATATTATTAATATGCATATAATAAAAGAAGAATAAATGAGCAAGTTATGACTCACATACTATTTCTGAATTTTTTAGTCCTCTTAAAATCACATTTTTAATAAATTTTGATAAAATTTAATGAAATGTGGTGAAAAGGTATGATTTCATGAAATATAAATTCAAATTTAATTTTAGTTTCCATCAAACATGGATTTAATTTAAAAACAGTGGTAAAAGTGTTCCGATAACACTTAAAAACATGAATTAATCTACTTGTATCAAATATCTTATCTAATTTTTGACCGAATTGACAAGTGGCACCCCCCTATTGGAGGGGCTCCTGTCCACTCCAATAAAGGCGCGACACCTGTCAATTCGGTCATCCATTTAGTAAATGATTTGGTACATATAGCATCTCTCTAAAAACATTATATTTTATTTGTTTATTCATAATTGTCTCTTGTTAATTTGAGTTTTGCTAGATTATTAACACAAAACTAAAATTTATACAAAAAGAATTTTTGATGACTATAATTAAAAGAGACAAGATCAAGGCTTAGTACGTAGTAATGAATGAGATTTTAATTTCTTTTTCTTGTTTAATAGAATCCACCATCTAACTTGACTTTTTAAACACACAGAGGAAGAAAAGATGATGAAGGGAGGGACCATTAATGCAATGACTATGCTACACATACAGAAGAGTTTCACATAATTTTTTTTTACACAATACACGTGTCGATATGTGATTGGACCGTTAAAAAAAATTCATTTACACAGGTGCTACCAATGCAACACCTGTAATTATTCTGTGAACCATTCCCTGTACGCACAAGGAATTTTACTTAATGCTTATGCTTGTTGTATTTCTTGTACTAATATTCAAGTCAAATAACTAAACATAAGACTTGTTCAATGCTTCCAAATCATTATTAGTATTTATGGGATAAAACAACTTGATCAATAATTCTAACCAAATCCGAGAGGGGCTGAAAAGTCTTCAAATATAATTCATTTGTTTCTTCTCTCAAAATCTTGAGCAAATTAAGGAGAAGATGGAAGGCCTAATTCCAATGGTATTCAAAAGCATCAAGAAAAATGGAGTTAGACGGCAATACAAATCTCTATCTTCTGTTGCAACTGATAAAACTCAGTATAATATTGCTGATTTTTACACAAATGATAATGGTTATTACAGCAAACAATATGAGTATGGCGGCTGGCGAGAACCCGAAAGGATCTCAGGTTTTCATGCAGATGGTAGCACCGGGCGCCACCACAGGCGCCGCTACTCTGTTGGTGTTGATTATTCTGCGGCCTCGGAGTTGGAGGATTCTGTTGAGTCCAAGCAACTTGTGAGGTACAGGAGCCTCAGAATGTTCTCATGTGTGACTGGTGGGTGAAATTAATATATGTTTGGTAGGTTGGACTGGACAGGACAACATCCGATGAAGAAACACAAGTTCAAATCTTGTCTACTTTGAGGTGATTAGCATTTTTGTTTTATTGACAGTTTAGCATATCAAGGATTCATAGTTCTTACTTCCTCAATCAATTTGTTTTTCTGTTGAAGATTTCTTTGTAAATATTCTTGAGAAATTTGAGAACTTTGGGACTGTATGCAAGACAGATGTTACTATATTGATATCGAGAAAACTTATCAATCTGTCCGTGTTGTGTTGGTTTTAGGTGTAGCTTTATTCCAATTCTTCATTTTCCATCTCAAGTGCCTTGTCAACATGTTTAGCCCATGTTTGGTTTTGATTAAAATTTGATTTTAATCTAAGTCAAAGTCAAAGTCATACGATCAATATTAACAACATTTTTTATGATTCCACAAATTTTCAACAACATATTTCAAAAACTTTTATTACAATCTATTAGAAAATCTAATTTTAATATCCACCAAACACCCTCTTATTCTAAATTCCGGCTTGTTGAACACTACCTTCACTTGGGTCGATCTACGACACACCATTATACAGTAGATGCAGTCACAACCAATTTCAAGTAGATGGCCGATACGTCCCTTTAAAATGTATTAAAATCTGTCCAAAATTGCTCTCAGACAAGGGCCATAACTTTGAGAGCACTTAGTGTCGACCCTCCAAGGACAATTGACAAAGCTCCCATCTTGTCCGAATTCACTGTTCCATACAAATATATTACATGATTATTGATTATCTTACCAGATCAATGTAAAAAGTGAAGAAATCTAACATATTAATCCTCTGCATTTAGAACATAATCAAGATGAATAAATCGAAATGGATGTTCATAAAAGTACGGTAATTCAAATTACTTGTAAGATGATTCATTTACTAGCTTCATGTATGAACGGTTAACGGTTTCATTTAAAAACTTAAAAGCTAAGTGCTTGTTTGGTGGGAATTTTGATAATTAATTTTTTTACTGTTAGAGATAAAGTGGATCTTACCTGTGAGAGAAGAATTCAAAAATGACGACTGAAATGATGAAATAACATTCTAAAAATTGATTTTAATTGGCTTAAAATATGTACTAAACAAGCACTAAATCTTTAAATGCCTCTTCCCGTGCCCAAAAATAAGAGAGAATGTCGTTTATGTGAATAAATCACAAACTGAAAGGACACTAAAGTGGTCGCACACTAGAAATCTATTTCTAGGAAAAGATAAGACTCCGAGAATCCTAGACGACCTTAAAAATTTTAATTTGTGAAAAATAGATGAGTCTATGAAAAGTAAAATCGGCCAAGAATCTAAAAATAACCATGATATTCAAATCTTTTATATAACTTATAATTCACTCGAAGTGAAATATGCATAACCGAGTTGAATTGATACAAATATATGAATGCCCAATATAACCCAATAGTAAATAGTCCGACTTAATATAAAGTAGGTCGATTAGTGCTGGAGGGGAGAAGTGAACATTACAATCAGACTATGCATATTCCAACAATTTCTTGATAAAAATATTAGGCTGACATTAATTTTCGGAAACTACATGAACAAATGCTCAAATGAAAAGCTGATCGTTTGATTTTCTGCAAATGTATGGTATCACGAACAAGTAATAAATTATAAAGTCATAAATAGGATATTGTTCCCACGAGGACCTCAACTTGGATTTATGTTTAAAGAAAGAGTATAATAAAAGACCAACTTATTGGCTATTTTAGAAATTGAAGTGTGAAAATCATTTGTCAATTAAGATTCGTCTTGGAAAAATTAGTTCATGAAGTTATCTCTACGACTCTACCTCTAGCAAGTCAATGTTGAACCGAACACGGCAGTGGTAGATCGCCATTAGTGGAAACCAAAGTTGCAAGAAGAACATTTCTGCTGAAACAAACCACTAATAGTAAAAAACCTTATTTCGAAAACATGCAAAAAGACCTATAATGAAACAACTTGACCCCACAATTTATTAAAAGTTTACTAGCTGTTTTTAAGAAATAAAAATGTGATGTTCGAGGCCTCAATTCGATTTCTAAGCATTAAATGTTGGTCCATGATGGTTCTATATGTGGAAAATGATTGTCATTTTTCTAGGTATGAAAAGAGTAATGATATTTACAATCGCTCACTATCGTAGTCGTTCTACGTATGGTTGTCATACATCAAATTATCAGTCGTCACATGTATGCTACGTAGGGCGGCTATGGTAGTGAGTGATTGCAAATAACATTATTCGTATGGAAATCAATTTCATTAAATGCATGTTTAGTGTAACATATTTACTATTTAGTGTAAATGCAATTTACTATTATGGCATCTCTATTATTTATTTATTTATTATTTTATGACTGTTTTAAAAGGCGCACATTCACACGATGTGCAGCGGAAATGTCAAGCCTTGTGGCTTGACGCCTTATTTAGCAGTCAACAGTAATCGTTGATTGCTAATACACGTCTAGGCACAGTTATGCGTGCCTAGGCGCGCATAATTATCTTCTTTTTTTATTTTTTTTAAATTTTAATTTTTTTAAATTTTAAACTTTTTTAATTTTTTTTTATACAATTCTTCTAAGTTAAAACTTAAATGTTGATTTCTTTACTTCGTCGGTTCTAAATTCAAAATAATCCCTTAAAGCCTTGAACAAAAGAAATATCGCATATATTCTCATTTATTTACTATTTAATATTTACATTTGGAAGTTATCTTTTTATTGAAAACTTCGGAAAAATATATAAATTTCCTATAAATTTGTTTTAGATATTTGGCAGGTATTATTTTTAATTATTAATGGATTTTTCGATTGATTAAAAATTAAAATAATATTAAAATAAGAAAACGCATTTTGCACACTTTTTTATGCTTATGCCTCACCTAAGCTCACCAACCCATAACTTGACATCCACGCATCATCATGCTCTACGCTTTTTAGAACACTGATTTTATGTATATTTATTTAATTGAGTCCAAAAAATAAATCCTATTGATACTGTTCACTTAAATTATTAGTGAAGGGTGTCAAAATCAAGTAATAATATATTTGAGTCTAGTGTGATCTCACAAGGATTGTATTCTTATATTTGAAATTACTTATTCGAACTCTAATTGAAGAAAGGTGAATTGCATAAATTTGGTTTTTACTAACAAATACTTAAAAGCAAGTAAAACTTATAACTAAGCAGACTTAGAGAAAATATAAATATGAACAGAAACCAGGACTTAGACTCCATTTTTTTCCCCCGTTTTAATTCATATTACCACGATATTGAAAATATCAATTCATATTGACTTTCGATATTCCTAAATTACTTAACAATGTCTCTAGAGTAGAGTCAAGCCTATTTTTATGTGTGAATTTTCCGTCTTTCTAAGAAAGTTGAAGATAAGTAAGAACGCAGTTAGAACAATCAAACATTGCATACAAATCGCAAAGACCACCAGAGTATAACATTATTTACTATCGGAATCTAAGTTACTTGTTAAAAGAGCTAAAAAAAAAAACTCCCATTATCAACGATTCACAGATCAATAGTAAAATTGACCAAATAACAAGATGATGGATCAATTACCTCGGTTAGTTTTGTCTGCCATTAATTGAAGTACTACCACTAATGAAAGTTGATGGATCTTTACGGTGAATACTACTTTGAAATCTATATTATCTCAGAGTTTCTGGCATGTGAAATTGTGTGTTCAAATTTGTTCGAAAAAGTGCATGGATTATACATATGATTACGAAGATATATCATTTGAAAAACGGGGTGTTTCAAAGTCGCTTCTCGTGGATTTTCATAATTCTGCAATGCAAAAATGGGATATACACTTGACATAGATGTCTGAGTTATGATGTATATAGCAATACAAAAATAGTTCGAGCAATTTGTTCTTTATCCAAGAAAAAGAATTTCTAGTTTGCATGAGATGTTTCTGGCATATATACTGTTTGGCTTGAGATGAAAATAGAATTCAGACACACATGTTACAACATATTATATGGATAGATTGTTGTATAAGTTGTCTAAATTGTTGGATAAATTCTTCCACCAATTTGAGGTATTTCTACTTGCTGATGCAGATTATTCTCTATAATCCACCTAAGAAATTGAACCATTGCTAATTCAGATGTTGGATGTCTCACAGTACAGGAAAATGCCTCAATGTTTTTGGAGGAAGACAGAAATAGAGTGTAGGAGTTTTTGACTGCACGTTAATGGATCGAATACATACCAGTTATTAGCCTTCGGTTTCATTCCACAAAGCCTTCTGTTGTGCTGCCAATACAACGAATAATTTCATCACAAGCCTCAAAAACTGATCATATCAATGTTAGACAGTTTTGGTCAGTTTAGACGAAAAAAATAATTCAATAAATCAAAGAAGACAGGATATTACGACTCCAAATGTTTGCTTTCGTCTTAACCAGGAAGCTAAAATATTTAGGTATCTACAAATCATATGTAGCTTTAGTTACCAAACGTCCCCTTCATGATTCTCGTAACGTCCCAAATTTTTACTGTTAGTTGTTAGATTTAAATTTAGGACTTAAGTACACTATTATTAAAGTCTAATGACTTTATTGGTCATTGACCAATAATTTGATGATCGAAATGAAGAGTTATTTTGGAAGTTAGATGAAATTATGCGTAATATATATGTAAATATATTAATTGATCTTGATTAAAAATGATTTATTGATCACATGTATTTTTTACACTAAATTTTAAGACGAGTGAATTGATTTGACCACATGATTAAAGGTATCGATTTGATTATTTCCTTGAAAATACAACATTTATGCATTGACATGCCTAATGTCTAGCCACTTCCTTTCACTTTTCTACGCATGGTAAAAAATTCACATTATAAATAGGAGACAAACCTAACATTAGACTATCCCTAACCATCTATTGACACACTCTCCCTCTATACCTCGATCACTTTGCCTCTCAACTTTTACTCTCTCTCTTGTTCATTTTATATTAAATATAGTCATAAACTTACACAATTACACGTCAATATTCAACCCCATGGGCAACTTAAGGATCTCTTTCCAACAATCACTCATTTTATCATTTTAAATTGTTCAGTGAAAAGTTAGTTGTGCTTATGTTTATAATGGCTAATATTTATGTATGTAATATCTCTACTGGTATGTTTTATGTTTTGATACATAGTATGTATGTCCCAAACAAAATTGATCAGAGTTTAGTAATGTAATGCACGAGA